CTGGTGGTGGTGGTGGTGGTGGTGGTGGTGGTGGTGGTGGTTGTAGAAGTGGTGGTGGTGGTTGTAGAAGTGATGGTGGTTGTAAAGGTGGTGGTGGTGGTAGAAGTGATGGTGGTGGTGGTGGTCGTGATGGTGTTGGTGGGGGTGGTTGTAAAAGTGGTGGTGGTAGATGTGGTGGTGGTAGAAGTGGTGGTGGTGGGGGTGTTGGCGACAACAATAATGGCGGTATCTACAGAGTCCTCGCGAACAAGACCAGTTGTAGGCGGATGTCAAGGTCAAGGTCAGGGTCGGGGTCAAGGTCAGGGTCAGGGTCAGACGAGAGTGAGAGTGTTCGGAATGTGTCCGGTCAGCGAAGGTGTCAGTCTCCCTCCCCATCTCCGTCCGGTTACTTGACGCGAGGGTATTGTAGGAGTGGTGGGGGTGGTGGGGTTGGTGGGGGTGGAAGTGGTGGTGGTTGTGGTGGTAGTCGTGGTGGTGTTAGGGGTGGGGGTGGTGGGGTTGCTCAGGATGGTGGTGTTTTCGGTTCTCGGGGTGGTGGTAGTTGTGGTGGTGGTAGTTGTGGTGGTGGTAGTTGTGGTGGTGGTTGTGGTGGAGGTCAGGGAAGTGGGTGTGGCCATGTTTCCCCCCGCGCCCCCACCTCCACCAGCAGACGTTCCCGCTCACGCACGCGTAAAAAACCCGCCGATGTGACACATCACGAATGTGACACCTCTGACAGAAGCGCCGGGAGTTTTAGCCCCTCGCGCCATAGACACGACCTTGACATTGACAGAGAGCACAGACGTCATGACCTTGACCCTGATGCCAACACGTACGACAGCCCCCAACACGACAGACATTGTAGCGTGAGCCCAGTGTACGACAGCCCCCAACACGACAGACATTGTAGCGTGAGCCCAGTGTACGACAGCCCCCAACACGACAGACATCCTAGCGTGACCCCAGCCTACGACAGCTCCCGCAACCACGCCGCCGCCAAAGACAAGGAGAAACTACTACAACAACAAGGGAACGGCTACAGCAACACTCACAGCGACGTAAATGACCGCTCTGACGTCACTGGTCACCACAAGAAGCCCCGGCGGTCAGCCTCGGCGTGCTCTGTCCTCCACCCCCCGCCACCACCCCTCCTCCCCTCCCTGCGCGTGCTGAGTGAGCCGGCCCCGCGGTGCGAGAGGGAGTGGGTTCGGAACCACGTCTCTCTGATGGAACAGTGTGGGAGGGAGAGGCACCGGACGGCCAGGGAGAGGATGAAGAGGATCGCCGCGCGCTCACAGGGTCTCCGGGAGTCGGTGGGCGGTTTGAGGGTGGACCTGGACGAGGTGGAGAGGAGGATGGACAGGGTGTGTTTTGGGTTTTGGTTTTTTATTTTAGTTTTAGTCTTCAGTTTTAGTTTTTAGTTTTTAGTCTTAGTTATAGTTGTTGTTTTTTGTTGTTTTCGTTTTTCGTTTTTCTTTGTTTTTTACTTCAGTCTTTTTGTTTTATTTTTTCGTTTTTAATTTATCGATTTAGTTTTTAGCTATAGTAAGAGTTCTGAGGCACTTGCATGTAGGTCATATTATATGTATCGAAGATTAGTAGAGGTGTTACTAGATAGTAAAATACAAAGAAAGGAAGGAGGAGAGATTAAAGGAGACACTCAAAGATAATGTCACGTAATAGATAGATAGATAGATAGATAGATAGATAGATAGATAGATAGATAGATAGATAGATAGATAGATAGATAGATAGATAGATAGATATTAATTATGTACCTTTTGTTTTTATTTTTGCTTATATTTCTATTTTTCCGATAAAATGTGTATTTGTCTAACAGTAACAAAAGTGTGGTATGCCCCATCCCCCACCTTAACACCACCCCACACCCCCACCCGCACCCCACACCCCTCACACCCCTCACACCCCTACACCCACACACCCACATATCACACACACACACACACACACACACCCTTCCCCCACCCACAGGTGTACAAGCTCCAGGAGCGCTTCCTGAGGCGCACAGAGGCCGCTGTACGGATGGCCCGGGTGACCACTGGTCAGTGTGTGGCGGGGGCAGGGCGGTGGTCAGACGGTGGTCAGTGTGTGGCGGGGGCAGGGCGGTGGTCAGACGGTGGTCAGT